CTCTCGTGCCTTTTCGCCGTTACGTAAAGCCCTAATCTCACCGGCGTAAGTGCATGTTGGACTTTATATAACGAGCACTGGACCGTCTTATCATAGCAGAGATCGATGCTATGCATTTGCGCAGTGCACAAAAGCACTCCAGCCGCTCGAGTGCATTTAGGTAAACGTACGCTGCAACAGGCCCGTCTGACCTTCTCATGTTCGCGTTTCAATAAATCAGCATGCGAAATGTGTATCACCAAACGTGTCTCTCTCGCTTTAGAGAGAGAAAGACAGAAAGAATCAATTTTTCCGCAGTAAAAATGCCTACGAAATTGTTTCTGGTTTATGATCAATGGAAATTTTAATATTGCTTGTAAATCAAACTTCAGGAGAGAGCAAATATAATATAAAATTATCACTATCTATTTTATATATACATAATACTATAATACATAATTTTCAACAATTTCACGTTTCAAAACTGCAAAAAATGAGAATATTTTTTAGCTAAATATATTATATATTGAAAATGTATTAAAAAAATAACTTTAAAATATTCTAACTCTAAAATAATTTTCGAGAAGTGTAAATTGACACAATCAATAAATCACGTCCAATAATAGAAAATAACGCTCGTCACGAATTTGATGCTCTCTTTTGTTCACGAGATTTGCACGAGTTGAATTCTGTATATTTATATACATGTACATAATATATGTATATGTATATACATATACATATATGGTATTCCATATCATTATTTTAATGTGCATTGCCGTCCGTAAATCTCGTGAATCGATCGTGAACCGATCGTTCACCGTTGCCTCCACATTTGTGTGAAACATATTTATGTCAACAGAGTATAATAACATAATAATTTCGAGTTCATTAGCACAGTCGTGTTGCGTACACTGTATATAATTTATTAGAAATTAATGGTTCTATAAATTTCATCCGATAATATTAAGATTAAAGAGAAAATAAAAAATTATTACTTAGTTTATATAAAAACGGTATAATATTTAAATAGTGATAATTTTAAATCTTACGTATGCTGCTCTCTAAAATTCGCTTCATGTCATTTTGTAATATAATCATGTTAATATAAAAAGGAAAAGAAGTAAACACGTAAAGTTGTTATAGCCCGAGTGCTGTTACGACATAAGCCTTGCATTTCGGTATAGCAACGCATGCGTGGCAGCGAGCGAGCGGAAATTGCAAGACTGCAAGCTTGCGAATTGCGAGCGAGCGAGCGCGAACGATGGTCGTATGGGCAAAGTACATCTGACTTCCCATGATCAAATATGGTCCGATCGCGCGATAGGACACCAAATGTATCTAGCACGTATAATAAAGTGTTGAAATGTGTGTGTGTGTATGTATGTGATTAGCATGTGACACCAAAGTGAATACTAAACTAAATGATAACTTGTTAATATATAAGCCATTGACAGTAACTTGTGCAAAAGTTTATTTTAAACAGGTGCGGAATTAACCCTCTCGCGCATGCATGTCACGATAAACTCGATTCCTCTGCCGCATATGTACTCGTAATTCGTTTTAGTGAATCGGTTAAACTAGTTGCGTACGAATTACTGCCGGAGAGAGTTTCATTTCTTAGCGAAATAAACTGGTCGATAAAGCACCGCTAAAAATTACTTTTAAAATGTCAACTAGTTATTTGCAAGGATATACATATCTGTACAAAAAAAGCTTATTTATCCCAAAGAAAATAGCTTGTTATATTTTACGTGGTTCATTCTAGAATAAAAGCAATTCCAGAAAGCACTTTAATTGTAAAATGCAAAGAAGGGACTTTAAAAATTCTGCATTCTAGTTCGTTCACCGATGGCACTTGCATTTTTACGATATTTTTGTTGTTGTTGCGTTATCTAGTGCATCTAATTTTTTTTTGTTTTATGCGAAATAAAGCCTTCTAGGCTATATTTCTGCTGGAATCAAAATAAAAATTCTGCAAATTACATTACTGTAATATCAGTTTTGATACTGCTCTATTTTATTGCCATTCAAAACTATATATTGTTAATTTTCGATAAAAATTAAATGTTTTATAATAATATTGGACGATATCTCATTTTTTATTACTTAGCTTTGCCACTAATGTAAATTAGAAAACACTAAACACAAGAATTTAGACATTGAACGTAGCACGGGTGAAACCATCAATATGTATCATGGAAAATGATACATCTGCGTATAGGATGGGATTATCATATATGTATATATTGTACTAGTGATAAACGAAGCATATGGTCTTGTTTATTTTTTAATTCGTGAGTATTCGTTGTCTGACGCATTTACATAATTGTTCTAATTAACGAAATTGTAGCATCTATATAAAGAAGAATAAGATATATTGCATCTTTAAGTTTTCATAAATGTAAAGCTTAATATAGAAAAATTGTTCTGTCACAAAATAAAGACTTTATACATACAATATACAGTATGTTTTATTATTTTTTTCAATTTAAATAATTGGCTATTTCACGGAATTCAAAAAATTCTGTTTACGGTTTTAGCAAATTGCATCACTAACGAATTGAGTTATTAAATTAAGGAATTTTGTTGATCAACAAATATGAAATAATTAAGTATAAAAAAAGTTTTTTAGACTTTTATTTCAAAACATTATATCAAGCTCATCTTAAGAAAGTTAATAAATAAAATGATAATAGATCAATTCTGTTGATCCAATTAAAATGCCATACAAAATATTTCAAAATGTGCGAGTTCGTAGTTAATTGTTATATGTCACTTGTTTAAAATGCGACGTATTTGGCGAACACTCACGAGTTAAAGCACAAGAAACTTGTCGTTTGAAGAACAAGCGGGATATACCTGTCGTCATAATTCCTGTGCCGCAAAAAGAGGTAAAAATCTCAATTAATATTGAGTCCTCTTTGAATTGACATGAACATCGATTCAATAGATTCACTAACTCGTCCCGTTTTACTATTCCTACAAATCTATCTCTAAATCTTCTACCCTACTGTGTTTCATCTGCACATTTCGGTGCATCTATCGATCCGGTCAAAGCAAACACATGCGGTTCCACAAATGTGTTCCTAGAATGTGATTCTAAAATTGTTATCTTAGGCACGTTTCGCTCAAACATACGGCGTGTGATTCACGCATTAACATTAAATTATATCCGCTCTGGAAATCTTATTTTGTAGCAAAAGAAAAATCCATATAAGCAAACTTGAAATCTCGCTCTTTTTTTTTGTACTTTTATTAATTAATTGCCATTATTAAAAAAATATCATTTAGGAAAATGAAACATTTCTCTAATACTTTAAAGCCAAAATTATCTTTATCTATCATCAATGTAAAATTAGATAATAAGTTGTTGAGTCAGGCTTTATTTAATCTAGCTGACAATGAGTTTAAGTCGCGTAACAATAAATAATGTCACAAAATAAATCTTTAGATTAAAGAAAAGAAGACTAAACAACGATAAAAATAGATTCAAATATGAATGAAGATCAAGGAGAGAATAAAAGATCTTGCTCACTAATATTTACAGAACACATACATGTATAGTTTTTTATTGATATTCACACGTGCCTATCAAACTCGGCGAATTAATAAGCGAAATAATAAATGTGCCAGTAGAATAATTTCGCCTTTGAACGATAATATATAGAATACAAGCGGTTATATCCAGAGAACTTAGATGTTCTCGGCGATTAAAGGAAATTATCGATGGCGTGTAATATGCGTGCTGTTGTTATTAAACGCGACATGCACGAGACCAGCCACACGCGTGTCACGCACAACCCCGACCTGCTTATACTGTCCCCTCGACCAACCCTTGCCCGACAGCGCCGGTATATCTGGCGCAGACTGCAACATTACCGTGTATCTGTCGTTGTTAAAAACTTTTTACACACGTATACACCCTTATCCCAGATTCAATAAACCTAAATGCCTGCAATGCGGTATTTTGTCGCGATCCACGAACGTATAAGTGTGCCGACGTTTCAGGTACGTCGGTGTGTACGGGAGGAAGAAAAGATTCAAAAGTAGACGCGTAAATTCTCGAGCGGATGAAAACGATGTGCGTCGATTTCTCGAAGTTGTGTGGAACAGGGCAAATGTGTATGAAAATCTAATTCCGAGGAATTATCGATCGCTTTTTTTGTGGACGAGCAAATTTTTCTCGCTGCGTAAACGATGAAACTCGCGCACGTTGTTGAACGTTGCAGAAGGAATTATCTGCGATATTAAGAATTCAATTCAATTAAAAGACTAGAGAATTGATTTTGAAGTTGAAAGAGATTCACATCGATATTACGCGATAATCTCACAATTTCTGCGAGTAATTTTCAGGTTTTTGAAGAACAATAGTTAATAAATAAAAACCTCGGTATTACGACGGATGCAATCAGCAGATGAACCGTTTTATTGAAAAATTTCCATTTCTCTCCGAAAGGACCCAATACCCGATAGAAAACGCGAGACCCCTTGTGTTTTTATTCGGATGCTGTCGGCGAAATAAAAATCTGAACCCTTCCGCGCGCGACTCGCAATATAAATATGTAATCAGAATCGCTGGAACGCACCTGGCGTCGGTTGGCTTGTACGTGACGTCGTATTTCTCGACCTGCTCGACCTGGCTGGTGCTCCAAGACACGCGCACAGACGTCGGGTTCAGGAACATCACCGTTATGTTTTCCGGGACGCCGGGAATGCCTGTCACCGAGCCTGCGAACAATCAATATGGAGTACCTGTCGTTATACAGTAATATCCGCTTGTCGAGACGCCGATTATACTAAAACTATTGTCGTTTCTTTCAACCCTCGACCGATCGGGAGAATGAAGTTTCTTTCTTAGAGAAATTTCACTCAATTGTACTTTTTCTTAACTCTTAACATTCAACCGTAAATCTTTAAAACTGTCTACATTAAAATTTCTCAAATGTCTTTTAAATTAGATCTTTTGTTGTCTTTTTTGCGGATTTTATACGAATGCAGTTATTCTTTGTTCTCGCTTGTTTTCTCATAAAAAAAAAGAGTTTAAGCACTTTTCGTTACTTTCTCACTTACCTACAAATCCAGCTCCTTGGAGGATTAGTATAGTGGCCCAAAGGACCATGCCGCCAGGATGGCGGGCCGGATGTGGACCGCGTATCCTTCCGCACACGTGTCCGTCTCCACTTCTGCTTCTTATTGTAGCCGTGCGTCTTTACGGTGCAAAGGCAAGACGTCAGTCTGCGCAAACAAATTGACGCGAATCTAATTCGGACTCTAGAAAAGAATTTGTTTTCCAAAATTTCTAACAAGATGTTCAATATCGAAATGTCGACTCAAAATTAAATGAAAAAAAATCTCCTTTGAAATAAAGCGAAAATTAAAAGTCCTACAAATCCTTCAGTTTTTAATCCATTCCGTAATTATGTCTCAATTATTTTTTATTATAATAGGACGGTCGATGCAAAGCTTTTCAGAAGAGTTTGAAGAATTTCTCATCTCAAAAGCACGATGTTCATTACCTGTACATGCACCTTTTCAAGCGTTCCGTGTCTTCTATCCCCCTTTGCCGTGCTGCATCCTTCCTCTCCGGCTACGTCATAACAATGATAGCGCGAGATTACCGCTTCACAGTGCATTATTCAGCCGTGCGTTTCATTTGCCGATGGTATTCCCAATGATCCGTATGCGAGCTCATCCTAGATTACAGCTGCAATAATGCACAAACGTACCGTTAATTCGTGAATAAATTTACGTATCTCTTATGAAATCATTATACGTTTAGAGCAAACCAGCTGCATAATAATCAGCAAACATATAATTGTTTGCCTAGAGCAAAATGATTTGTTTTGGATATTTCCGCTGGAGAAGCAGATCAAAATAGTGGCGAGCACAACAACACTTCAGTTATATCTAATTAATACAATTAATTGAACGTAGTACAGCTTATTAATATAATTTCGCGTAATCCGTTTCGACTTAACAAATCATTGTTAAAATATCAGCTGTTTCATTCACGCGCTTTAAAAAATTTAACAGCTATGAGCATCGCAATGCACGGTTCTATGATAAAAAATAGTATAAGCAATTAACACCTCGATTAATTATTTGTGTTTAAAAAGACTGCGATTCAGACGTTTCCCGTTTCGCGCACTCCAGGGGTGGGAGGAGGAGGGGTTGCACTCGCGGTGAATTCGAGTCGAATAATTGGGGCACGACTGACAATGAGCACACATCCCGCAGAGCCTCGCGTGGCCGATAAGAATCGCGTGGAACCGACAAAAAAGGACCGCGGATATCGTCGGGTGTCCCTGCAGCAATTTGCGCGACTGTCTTGCACGAGTCCTCTTGTACGGAGGCGCCGGCTGACCTTTTCCTACGGATTGCGTGGCCGCGGTGCACCGCGGCTGCGGTGCCGGGTGCCGAGTGGCGTGCCAACGAAAATACAACAGACAAAGTCGCGTCCGGTGCGGCGCAGCGCGGCGCGGTGCGGCGGTGCCTATGCGCTCGGCGAACCGCGGGCTTGCGAGCGACAAATGGAGCTTGCGGTTTGCATTGGGCCGCCTTTATACTCCGGGGCGGCCTCCTACGAGCGCGTTCCTCGCAACGGCGGCCTCGCGCGTTCAAACACAGTGGCGTAAAGTCGTGGGAGAGAAGAGCTTGTTTAAGTTGGACCCAAGTCCCCTTCCGCCACACCTGCACTCCTTCCTTATCCAGCTTCCGACGAGAGATTCTCGAAGGAAGCGAAACGCGTCTGCGATATGAAGCGCGCGATAAACGGATCATCTCTTGACTCGAAACACTCCCCCCTCGACGACAGCGGCGGCAAAGTTATAATCAACAATTGTGGAAGTCACTTCAGTTGTATTATAGTTTCAAAACTTAGAAGTGGCAGTTACTGTAAAGTGCTTAACAATTATAAGATAATGATATGTTGTATTGTGTACATATATTTATGCGTAAGTTATTTTTGTATTTGTATTTCTAACAGATACATTTTTTTTATAAAATCTTTTATTAAAAAATTAATTTTTTTATTAAGAAAATTGAAAAATGAAAAAAAGACTTATTTATCTAGCAGAGTTTACGTTGACGCGCATTTACATGTCGTAGCCTGATCAAATATTAATGATGTAATAGAAAATTCAGTAAGTAACTGTTCTACTTTGAATACGAATCGCATAATCGGACGCTCTATGATTATTAAATATTTCCTATCCCGTAATCGTTTTAATTATTACATTATAAAACATGTTTTAGAATTACGTGTTCACTATTGATACGCCGTCCCGCGCTTTATCACGCTTCAATTATTTATTTTGCGATTTTTAACTCCGACACATTGAGGTCCACCTACGTGCGCGCCAATGACTGCAACGACTTACATGCCGTGGAAAATATATTTTCATCGGGCGGAGAATGGTCGGGCTTTCTCTTTCAAGTCTTTCACGAGCATCGGAGCATTTTGCCGTGCCTGATAGAGCAAAGCTTCGCTGTGTATAGAAAAGAAAATCGTTATATTCTCTGTGGCCGTATACAGTATTACCAGCCAAGCGACACAGACTAAATAATCTGTCGATTAAACAATATTAATATTTTTAATAAAAAAAAAAACGTGATAGAATTTTAAAATTTTAATTTCCGATGAAATTGTTGAATTTTCGGAAAACGCAATCGAAATGTTACCACCCAATTGGTTCAATATTGCTTCCGGTAGAAGTATAGAACGCGTAACTGCTCTCCTACGTACGATTTACGTAGAATGTGACGTCGGACTGGAACGATAATATCTTTTTATGTACGACTAGAATAATAATGGAAGAAACTAGGGCACTTGCAAATCTTCATGATCATAAAGAGGAGAAAAAAAAGTAAGCGTACGTATGGATAACCGAAACGTCGTTTTGCAAACGAAGCGAAACATTTTGGAAAGGAAATATTGTAAGCGTGATGTATTTAATATTTCCGTTGATAATTAATACTTCTGTTAATAAACATTTTAATGATATCCGAATGTTTATTTCATTTCGTGCGTTACAATGGAATTGAATGAACGTTCACGCAATACAGCGAGCTTTAACGATTTCGATAAACAATTAAATATATTTAAATGTAATGTATTTAGAGCAATGCGCGAATATATATTTGGATCTTTAATTACAACATGTGTGAAAAATGTAAACAAATTCGAGAGTCCGGACCGTCGGGCGGTCCGCGTGGACACTCAGGAAAAGGGTCCCCGAAAAATGGAAATATCCGTCAACCCGTTCATCGCGCCGTTTGTTACTCGTACATCATAATCGAAAACTGACGTCTCACGAGAAATAATGGCCTACCGAGTGACACTTGCTTTCCCTTATTATGTTTCACATGCTAATATACGCGAAAACAAATTGCGCGCGTATCGCGCGACCATAAATTTTCGGCTGCCGTGCGCGGTAAAAGGCACTTACAAGTTATATTTACGTTACACACACTTGGGCTACTCACGAAATTGCACATATGTCTAGTCTGCATTGCGGTAAGAGTACTTGCGGTCTCCGCGATCGAATCGCGACTAATTAAAGTCCTCGAAAATCTCTCGACATCTTGAGATGGAAGCAGGCATCGTGTTGAGGTATTTTTGAATGCATATCTTGTTTCGCTTTAATAAAAATACTATCATATACATCAAGGATAAAAATATATGCCTTGGAAGTTTAAAAATGTTTCATTATTTATTTTAATAATTAAGCATTAATTATATGTATATATATATATATAATATTGTTATATATATATATATATATATATATATATAAAACAATAAATATTAATTTCTTTTTCTTTAAAATACTATTTACAAAAAATGTTAAAAGTGGTTCAATCGATTTTTACGTCGATCTTTGTTGATTAGAGGCCGTAAGCAGACAGGAAATGCAAAAATCACTTTTCTTCGTGCGATATTGGAAATTTTCGTGGAATATCGTTTTATCTTCTTTTATTCTTTATTTTTAAATAAAGCATAATAAATTGAATAAAGACTCGTTAACCGGAAGGCACGTTTTTCACGACACGAAACGACCTCGTTGGCGATGCGCGAATTGCGGATTCTGCAATCTCTTAAAAGCGATCACTTCGCGGCCATTCATCTTGCGGGCTGCTATTTCGAGAGAGAGAGAGCTTGCGAGACGTCGACCACACGCGACAAGTTCGACGACTTTTCCCTGCCTCGCTCCCCCTCCCGGCCGCTACCTCGTCGTTCCAACGACTTGGCCGGATGACGAGCGCTTGGCGCGTTGCATAACATACCGCATAAATCTGCATCCGCAATTAGTTGGATTATGCATACGCTGACCCCGTAATAGCAAGGAAAAACACCCCCATTTTTAATCTCTCTTTCTCTCCCGTCTATACGAAACACGTTAGTTAGATTTGTGTCAGTTTTGGAATACCCCGGAAAGACACACCCCCTATAAAGTTCGATGCATAATCACGCGATTCTGCGATTTAAAAATGTGTGCTGTCATGGGAAGACTAAATATCTCAAACGAACATTTACAAGGTATTCGATGAGTGCAAAATATCACAAAGGATTACAAATTTTTCACATTTATTATAGTTATTAAAGAAGCACGTATGTTACACACTAGCATTTTAATTGTTGTGACTTAAATTAAATACAGATTATAAGATACATCATAAAATGCAGAAACAGATCAAATATTCTTATGCTCAAAGTTCGTATAATCCATTATTTATGTACCGATCTTTTGTAGCATATGTTATTTATCTTATGTAATGATAACAAAACAAATATGTTATATAAGTTTTTCTTGAATTTTTATAAAATTAATATTATTAATGCAAATTGTAAAGAAATAAAATAAATAATTACTTTATCAAATCCAATAAAACTAATAAAAATTTAATTAAAGAAAGCTCAAAATCAATATAAAAGAAATTGTATTTTATATTTAAATCGAAAATTTCAATGGAGTCCCCTCTAGCTGTCAAACAACGCTGTTCAAGGATTAAAGGCATTAAAATTGTAAATAACATAAAGCAGCGAAATGATTGCCTACGTTCTCTGTCACGTTCTCTGTCACGTTAAACACGAGCGACAGGAAAAGTTCAAACGAATAAAAAATAATACGTATGTAAATTTCATGGCAGAATAAATGGAAACTACAGAGAGAAAGAGAGAGAGAGAGGCGAACCAACACATAGGTATGTTAATCGAAAGAAAAATATCACTGTCCTAAAAGATTACATAATTCCCCGCATACGTGTGTGTTATGCATACACGCCAATAGGACGGATCGATAATTGCCAGTCCCTTATTTTTTCTTACAATCTTTTCAAGCGTTTCGTGCATCACATCGGCATTCTTTATGTGCTCTATATTTATACGCGATAATAGACTCGACGGATGGTGGTTAGCGCGATGCCGGTATAAATAGACGAGTGACTGTTGCTTGCTCAGCGTGGCGAGAGAAAAATAAACGTCCGCGTTACCGGCCGATTTTCGTGCCTTCACTGCAAACGATGTAATGTAATATATAAAACGTGCGTGGCAAGATACACGAAGTAACACTCTCAATCCCGCGGAGCGGCGATCTTGCGCGAAATGCGTCGAGTTTACCGCGACAAACTGAGCTACGAGCGCACTCGGGTCTTTTCGTTAAATTATTTCAATTAAATAATATCGATACTACGTTATTTCGCCGT